CTACATGTTAGGTCACAAAATGATTCTCAACAAATTCAAAATGATTAAAGTCATACCGTGCATCTTTTCCAACCACAATGATATCAAACTAGAAATCAACCACAAGAAAAAAATCTGGAAAGAACACAAATACATGGAGGTTAAATAACATACAATTAAATAATGGTCAACTAAAAAATCAAAGAGGAAATAAAAAAATACATGGAGACAAATGAAAATGGTCTAAAATCTTTGGGATGCAGCAAGTGTGGTTCTAAGAGGGAAGTTTATAGCAATACAGACCTACTTCAAGAAGCAAGAAAAATCTCAAACAGCCTAACCTTACACCTAAGGAGCTAGAAAAAAGAACAAACAAAACCAAAACCAGTATAAGGAAGGAAATAATAAAGATTAGAGAAGAAATAAATGAAATAGGGACTAAAAAACAAAAACAACAACAACAAAAAAATAGAACAGATCAATGAAACCAGGATGTGGTTCTCTGAAAAGATCAACAAAATTAATCAGTAGCCAGAGTCATCAAAAGAGAAAGAGAACTCAAAAAAAAAAAAAAAAAAAAAAAAAAAAGCAAGCAGAAATTAGAGAAATAACAATCAACACCTCGGAAATACAGAAGATTATAAGAGAATATTATGAAAAATTATATGCCAATTAATTGGACAAACTAGAAGAAATGGATAAATTCCTAGAAACATATAACCTACCAAAACTGAGGCAGGAAGACATAGACAATTTGAACAGATCAAATACCAGCACTGAAATTGAATTAGTAATCAAAAAACTCCCAACAAACAGAAGTCCAAGACTAGATGGCTTTAAGGGAAAATTCTACCAAACATTTTAAGTGGAGTTAATATCTGTTCTTCTCCAACTACTCAAAAATATAGGAGAGAAAGAAAACCTTCCAAATTCATTCCATGAGGCCAGCATTACCCTGATACCAAACCCACACACACACAAAAGAGAACTGCAGGCCAATATCTCTGATGAATATAAATGCAAAAATCCTCAACAAAATATTAGCAAACCAAATCCAACAATACAGTAACAAAACCATTCACCACCATCAGGTAGGATTTATTCCCAGGATGCAAGGTGGCTCAACATTTGCAAATGAATCAATGTGATACATCACATCAACAAAAGAAAGGATACAAGCCATATAATGATTTCAGTAGATGCAAAAAAAAGCATTTGACAAAGTACAACATCCATCCCTGATAAAAACCCTCAACAAAGTAGGTTTAGAGGGAACGTACCTCAACATAATAAAGCCCATTAATGAAAACCCACAGCTAACATCATACTCAATGGTGAAAAACTGAAAGCTTTCCCCCCCAAGATCAGGAACAAGATGAGGATGTCCTCTCTCACCACTTTTAGTCAACACAGTACTGGAAATCCTAACCACAGCAATCAGAAAACAAGAAATAAAAGTCATCCAAATCAGAAAGGAAAAAGTAAACCTTTCACTATTTGCAGATGACATACTATATATAGAAAACCCTAAAGACTCCACCAAAAAACTACCAGAACTAATAAATGAATTCACTAAAGTTGCAGGATACAACAGATAGAAATTTGTTGCATTTCCATACACTAATAATGAAGTAGCAGAAAGAGAAATTAAGAAAACAGTACCATTTACAATCGCACCAAAAATAATAAAACACCTAGGAATAAGAATAACCAAGGAAGTGAAAGAATTGTAGTTTGAAAATCATAAAATATTGATGAAGGAAATTGAGGATAACACAAAGAAATAGAAAGATGTTCCATGTTCATGGACTGACAGAACAAATATTGTTAAAATGTCCATATTACCTAAAGCAATCTACAGATTTAATGCAACCCCTATCAAAACACCAACAGCATTTCTCATAGAACTAGAACAAATAATCCTAAAATTTGTATAGAACCCCAAAAGACCCCCAATAGCCAAAGCAATCTTGAAAAAGAAGAACAAAACTGGAAGTATCACAATCCATATCCTACAAAGCTGTAGTAATCAAAACAGTATAGTACTGGCACAAAAAGAGACACTTAGATCAGTAGAACAGACCAGAGAATCCAGAAATAAACCCACAATTATATGGTCAATTAATCTATGACAAAGGAGGCAAGAATGTGCAAAGGGGAAAAAGACAGTCTTCAATAAATGGTGTTGGGAAAGTAGATAGCTACATGCTAAAGAATGAAAACGGACCACTCTCTTACATGCTAAAGAATGAAAATGGACCACTTTCTTACACTATATGCAAAAATAAACTCAAAATGGATTAAAGACCTAAATATGAGACCTGAAATGATAAAAATCCTGGAAGAGAACACAGGTAATAATTTCTTTGACATTGGCAGTACACATTTTTCTAGATATGTCTCCTGAGGCAAAAGCAAAAATAAACTATCAGGACTACATCAAAATGAAAAGCTTCTACACAGCAAAGGAAACAATTAACAAAACTAAAAAGGCAACCTACCAAATGGAAGAAGATATTTACAAATGACAGATCTAATAAAGGATTAGTATCCAAAATATATAAAGAACTGATACAACTTAACACCAAAAGAACTGATAGAACTTAACACCAAAAAACCCCAAATAATCCAATTTAAAAATAGAAGACATGAACAGAAATTTCTCCAAAGACATGCAGATGGCCAATAGACACATGAAAAGATGCTAAACATCACTCATCATCAGGGAAATGCAAATCAAAACTACAATGAGATATCACTACACAACTGTCAGAATGGCTAAACTCAAAAACACAAGAAACAGGTGTTGGTGAAGATGGGGAGAAAAAAAAATCCTCACATACTGTTAGGGGGAACACAAAGTGGTACAGCCACTATGGAAGACAGTATGGAGGTTCTTCAAAAAATTAAAAATTTTAGAACTACCCTAGAATCCAGTAATTGCACTACTATTTACCCAAAGACTATAAAAACACTAATTCAAAAGGATGTATGGATCCCTATGTTTATTGCAGCCTTATTTACAATAGCCAAATTATGGAAGCAGCCTGTGTCCATCAATAGATGAATGGATAAAGAGGAGGTGGGTGAAATAGGTGATGGAGATTAAGAGTACACTTATCATTATGAGCACTGAGTAATGTATGGAAGTGTTGAATCAGTATATTGTACACCTGAAACTAATACAATATTGTACATTATACTGGAATTTAAAAAACAAATTAAAAAAAAGAAAATGGGTCTGGATATTGTTTCCTACTCTCCTTTGCAATTTGATTGCTATTCTCTTCATTTTCATTTAACTTTTCAAATTTCCCTTCTAATTCTACAAATTTTTCTTTGTTGATTCTCCTTGATTATAGCATGAGCTGTTATTTTAGAAGAGGACAGTACTGCTGGTTCTTTTTCCATATCCTAGACACTGTTCCTCAAAACAATAAAGAGAAATTAACTGGCAATATTTTCTTTATAGCTCTCCAGTTTAGCTTTTCACTCCTGTCAACTAACTTTTCAGAAACCTGCCTTGAGTGAGAGGCCTAGAACTGAAGATTGAGCATACTCACATTTAGCGAGAGAGGCAACAAGTTCCCATCAATCATTCTCAATCACATTCCCATAGTGGCTTAACTTCTCTCAATATAGATATCCAAAAAAGTAAGATTGTTTCCTCTTTCAGAAACTCATTCTTAAGCACCAGCACCATCATGCAGACTCCCTTTATCTAATAACTCCCCTTCTAGAAGTTTGTTTCCAAAATTTAGGTCATTCTTTTCTTTTCTCATAAGTTATTTCTCCCATCCAAATCCTTGCATTCTACAGTTTGTTTTTCCCTTCCTGTCTTCTTTCCTTCTTTCTTTTTGAAATACTTTAGAAAAATGCTTGAAGGCTACCTCTCCTTTGGGCATGGTGCTAGGTTTTAAGGATAATGATGAAAAAGACCTGATTCCTTCCTCCTTGTCTATCTAGTTCCGTGGTGATAGAGTCACATATGTTTCCAAGTTAACTATACCTTGGGACTTGTGCTCACCCAAGTAATGAGGTGTACAGATATTTAAATATTAGAGATATTTAAGGGCTATCCCCTGGTCTCTTACAAGTCACCTACGTGCAGAACAGATTCTCCTTTCATTGCTGGTATTTTCTGTATGGATATCTAATTTTATGACCAATACCATTTGTAAGAAAATAAATCATTATCCAAAAACTCCTGTAAATGACATTCATTTTGAAGAAAACTCATATACCATTGCTCAAGGCATTATTCACAAGTCAGAATTCCATAATTCCCATGGAAGACAAACCACTGAATATCCATCTGGGAAAACAGAGAGTGCAGTCTACTTATACACAGTACATATAAACCTCACATTCATCAAGCAAGAAAGGGGAACTCTAAATTGAATTTTGGTCTACCAGAATAAAAGAGAAGCTATTAAAGAGAGTTATTATATAAAGGACGCTTGTGGTAATTACTATTATAACCTCAAAAATCCTTTTGTAAAGTGAAAAATGACTAAAATTTTGTGAATTGTCCCCCAGTTGTGCTTTCTAAATATGAATTGTGTGTGTCTTGTTTCTTTGAAGAAAGAATCACTTGCCATGGTGTATGAGAAAAGATAGGCATATACACCCTGTTCTCAGTATTTAAGAGTGCATTTGCTTTCATGAGCTTCTGCATCATCCCCTGCCCCACAACCGCCGCCTTCACAAAGATAAGCAGCTGGAGAAAAAAAAAAATCACTGACTGTGGGAGGAAAAGAAGCACAGTCCATGCTCAATCTCCTTTAGAGACAGACATTCCTAAGAGTATATAAATGAATGGGCTCCACAGGTAATAACAATGAACCATGTCAGAACTGAGCTGGTTGGGGAGGTAGGGGATGGCAGGGAATATGGGAATTGGGGAAACCTCTAGCAGTTTATGCTGTGCTATCTGTCTTCCTCATTTGTGTGTTTTCTGAGTCAGCATTAGCTAAATTTTCCAGAAAGCAATCCACAAAGTACAGCCTGGGCATTTAAGGGACGTCACTCATTTCCCCCAGTGACCTTGACAAGTCAGAAGCTTGAAAGCAGGGAAATCCGGATGTCTCAGTTATGAAATGAAACAGTGGGGCTCCAATATATTTCCAGAAGACTCCATCTAGACTGGTGATTGCCTGCTTCTATTACTACCAGTGACCACCCAGGGTGCTTCTCTGGCTCATAAGGGATTTGCATAATGGCCAAGTGCTTCAGCCTGATGTTGCTTCTTGCCTCCATCTGGACAACAAAGCTCCTGGTCCATGGCTCTCTCCGTGTAGAAGGTAGGTTTCTTACCAGATTTCCAACCTGAGGCAAAGAAAGCAAGATCTTGCAAACTGTCCTAAGCCTACCAAATTCTTAACTATGGATTGCTGGGAGTAGGGGACCCTCAATATCCACAGATCTAGTTCATAGTGTTGCTCTGCCAGAAATGTTTTTACCATATTGTTGACTTCACCAGAATGATTCACATTTACCTTTATGTTATTTTGACTTTTATTTTTGGTTATCGAATCTTTTTAATGAGAATATTTTGAAACAAAATATTGAGGAGAGATCATTTGTTTTTAAAAGTATTTCATTAAAGAAATAAACCATGATTGTAATGAATTTTAAGCAAGCACTAAAAGCTGGAAAAAATGGCCAACTTTCACTAAATATTGACCTGTTTTATATTTTTTGAAGTGTCAATATAATTATTTTAATTTCAATTTTGCTGTATTACAATTGAATGCATATGCTTTTAATATGAAATAAATAGCAAATTAACTGAAAAAATGTGAAAATATAGGTTTGAAAATTAGTCATTATCTCCCTACCAAAAAGGAATAGCTTTAAGGGATTTCCAGGCTTTTGAGATGCCTAAGTGGTAACCTCACTCTGCAATGTAGGCAAAAAAATTGTAACCACAAATCACTTATTATAGCTCCAGGCAAATGAAAATTTGAGCACTTTAAAAAGAAAGTTGTGTGTTCCTATGCTGGAATAGGCTCTGTGATATAAAGTATGTAGGAATCAGATATCCTGAGTTGATTTATATATTGTTATATTTATTATGAGAGCCTAGAGTAATATTTTTTTTTTCAAAATTCCAAAATTGTTATTCTCAAATAAGTTTGGTCCTCTTTGAAATTCCCCTGGGAGACTTTTCCCCACAATGCTGCCATGACTCAAATATTTTGGAAATTGTTCTTTAACAATAATTCCATTGCACTCTGGACTATCTTTAATGATGTCAAAAATTTCCTAAGGAAATTAAATTATATATATCATATTTTATATTATATATAACTTTTATGTATGTAATATATGAAATTTCATTTAATCTTCTCAAGAAGGGGCACCTAGGTGGCTCAGTTGGTTAAGCGTCTGACTTTTGATTTTGGCTCAGGTCATGATCTTACATTTTTTGAGATCTTCATGGACAGTAGGGAACATGTTTGGGATTCTCTCTCTCTCTCTCTCTCTCTCTCTCTCTCTCTCTCTGCCCCTCCCCACTCTTGTGCTCTCACTTTCTCTCTCAAAATTAATAAATCAACTTAAAAAAATCTTCTCAAGTAGACATTTTATAGATGAAACAGGCTCATGAAGCCAAGTGACTTCCTAATGCCATATAGATGGTAAAAAAAAAGCTTGGGTTTGAATTCAACTCTATCTGATCCAAACATACAGTATTTCTACTATGCCTGTTTCCTAAAAATTCTTAAGGAAGAGGTTAGTGGAGTAGCCCTTGGATTCCAACTCCCTACTTTTGTCTTTAAAAAAACTAGGAAAGCATAAAAACAACTAATATTTGTTGACTATCTCTTATGGACCTAGTCCCTGCTAGGCACAAGTTATCTAACTTAATTCTGACAAAAATTTTGTGAAGAAGATAGAACCAACCATTTTCATCTTACAAATGAGAACAATAACTTGCCAGAGTCCCAGAGCCTATTAATAACAGGTGAATAATCAAAGCTAGGTCCATTGTCCAGAATAGGTCCTTCATTACTCTAAATAATAACTTTTAAGGTAAAAATGAGTTATGATGGAAGAGTAGCAATACCACTTTCTAGTGTAATTAATAAACCTTCTCTGCAGGTATTCCTAAAGAAACAGCCATGAGATTTGAACAATAGCAAGCTCATGGGCTAAGCCAAATTCCAGGACAAATAGTGTGTTTGGAGAGTTTAGCTCTAATTGTAGAGTGTGTGTGTGTGTGTGTGTGTGTTCATTTTCTCCTCCATAACACAGTGGGAAGCAAAATAGTGGGCTTTTAGAGTTTGTGGGGTTTGTGCACCCAATCTGTCCTAAATCCATGCTTATATCCTTGAGTTTGGGAAAGTTACTTAGTCTCCCTGAGTCTCAACTTTCTATTAAAGCAGACAGGGTTTGGCACAGAGTAGCATAAACAGATGATAGATGTTAGAATTAGTATTAGTATTTTTTAAAGTTTATTTATTTATTTTGAAAGAGAGAGAGCAGGGGAGGGGCAGAGAGAGAGAGGGAGAGAAAGAGAATCCCAAGCAGGCTCCACACTGTCAGTGCCATCCAGGTATCCCTAGTATTAGTATTAATATCAGTATTGCTATAGGTATTAGTATTAGTACATATAGTCATAAGAGGCTGTTTTGTCATTAACACTCATGTTGGGGTGTTGACTCTCTGGTTTCTCATCGTGAGGGCAACGTCTGGAAGCAAATATGGCCATCCACAAATATTGTGTATCATATACATATTACCTCTTCTAGCTTCTTGCTCCAGAGCATAGCAAGGCCACATGGAGGACTTAGAAATGCTCCTTCTATGTTTTCAAGAAACTTATTTTAAATACCAACCTAGAAAGTGATCAAAGCATTTGACTGGGTATCCAACACACAGATCTGTGTACAAGCAACCTCTTGGAAGATTGTAATGCCCTCTTATGGATTTTTGTGGACAAAGCCCAATAGGAATAATGCACCTGAATGCAATACAATTTTGCAATTTTATACAGGTCTATAAATCCCAGATCCAAGAAAGTGATCTAAAGAACTTTTGGATTCATGAATTTTTGAGTAAAATATATTCACAACATATGTATTCAACCGCCTCACCTTCCCTTGAGAGATCAGTCATTAGAGAACTAAAACCAAAAAGCTTTGAAGATAACATAATGATGTTACTTATGATTTACTGAGCACCTACTTTGTGACAGGCACTATGCTAAGCATTTTTATTTGAATTAATTCATTCAACTGTCACTACCCTATACAATAGATACTGTTACTCTCTCAATTTTATGAATAAGGAAACTGAGGCTCAAAAAGATTAAATAACTAGCCTAAGATCTCAGAGATAGCAAGTGACATAGGCCAGACTCTAAAACTCAACTTTATTTAGTTTCTCTGTCATGCCAGGTTTACTGCCTGATTTCTTTAGGAACTTCTGAGTAAGCCTGCCCCCCAATGGTCAGAGAACACCTGGGACTGAGAAAGCTCACATTGTGTTATACCAAGTGCAACATTTTTCAGCCCATCTCAGAAATACTGGTGTTCCCAAGCCATATTGGTTTGGTGTATTGTTAGCTATTCTATTAACCAGAGCCCTGAATTCTATTTTTCTCAAAATCTCAGACCTTTCATTTTATAGACTCTAAAAAGGTTTGCAGCAACTGTATCACCTAGACTCAACTCAAGGAACTGGTGGCAAAAGTCTCTATGTAAAGAACAAGTCTCTATGTAAAAAAAACCCCTTAATGTAGTGGTGTAGGATAGACTCAAATCTGATGAGAGGTACAGCTGGGACCAGAGCAAAGACCCACCCTAACCCAGCAGGATTTCCTTGTGGGAAATGTCTGGCCTGTTATAGCTAACCGTCAATCCCAGCCACAAGGACCTCACTGCTCTAACAAGACAATAATACTTTGCTAGGAAGAATAGCTTACAGGCTGGGAATAAGGACAGCGGCAAATTGAGGACCTCTGTGATTCCTTTGCAGAACTTTCCATCTCAGCACCATGCAGAATTGTAGGGGTCACCCTTGTGAACAAAAAGACAACCCAGCAGCTGAATTTCACAGAAGCCCAGGAGGCCTGTAGGCTGATGGGACTAACTTTGGCCAGCAAAGACCAGATTGAAGCAGCATGGAGGTCTGGCTTTGAGACTTGCAGGTGAGAAACAACTGTATTCACAATACTGATGGACCTCTTCCAGCTCTGTGTTCTTGTTCAGCAGTAGAGATAAATGTATCCATTCAACTAATGTGTATTCTGTTATAGCTATGGATGGGTTGCAGATAAGTTTCTGGTCATCCCTCGGATTCTCCCGAACCCCAAGTGTGGGAAGAATGGGATGGGTGTCCTGGTTTGGAGAAATTCACTCAGCAAAAAGTTCTTGGCCTACTGTTACAACTCATCTGGTGAGTCATATCTGTAGCCTCTCCATGTTTTCTCTAGCTCTATGACCTGTCTGAGTAGCCCTGAGTAGCAGCAGAAGGAATCTTGGTGATGGTCATTTAATACTCCCAATACTGCCTCTATGTAGGACCAGGCCAGAGTTGGTCATGTGCCCCTCAGAGGAAAAAGTTAGGGAAAATATGACTAAATGGCAACATAGGAAGAGGGCAACCCAGCAGGTTCCATTACCCACATTCCTCCATCTTATAAGATAAATAAGAAGAAGGTAAGGAAATATTCACTATAGACAAAGCAATGTATCGAGTTATCATACTGAACCTTGACAATCTCTTTATAAGGTATACTTTGTCACTCCCATTTTGCAGAGGAGAAAATTTAACCCAAAAGACATAAGTATATTTGTCTACGTTCTCACTTACAACAAAGATTTTAACACAGGTCTAACTCTGAAAGCATGCTCTTTACCTTACCCTACATTCCTTTAAAGGAGAGGAAATTCAGATGCTACATTTTTTCTTTTTTTTTTTAAGTAGGCTTCACACCCAGCATGGATCCCAGTGCAGGGCTTGAACTCATGACCCTGAGATCAAGACCTGAGCTGGATCAAGAGTCAAATGCTTAACTAACTGAGTCACCCAGGGGCCTCACTACACTTGACATTTTTAAGAATAAGATCATTTTATGAAGGAAGGAGTTGAAGTTAGGAAATAGAATTGGTTTGCTCATAGTCACACAGTCATCCTATTAACTTTGCTTGGAGACCATATCCACCTATCCCAAGTGCTCTACCTAAGGAACTTCCCAGAAAGTTTTTCTTTCACTAAATACTTATTCTCTGCTGATTTATTACACTTCACACATACTCATAAATCTGACCTTCTAAAGGTCAGACAGCTGAGTGGTCATATACAAGGGCAGATTCCAAAGTCATTCTCTAAGATCCAAGAGATAAGTGTGCACCAGCAACATTATGTTGCCCAAAGGCAACATAGGATCCAAGCAGTTCTCTGAATCAGGAGGCTTTGACCTAGAAAGAGCCCTGAAAGACGCTTTGTCCTCTTCCCTCATTTCATGGATGAAATGATAGCTCAGAATGAAGGTTTGGCTTGTTCTGTTGGTGGCAGAGTCAAAAGTGGAATAAAGCTTTTTTTGTTTGTTTCACCATCCTCCTTCTCTCTTCTGCTTCTTATGCCTACCGCTTTTGGTTGGGGAATTGGTGGTTCACAAACCTGTTTATCTCATAGCCAGCCCATGCCTGTCAAGTGACCTAGCCTTTCAACTTCCTGGCCTTCCCCCCAGCTGTCAGTGTGATGATATGATACCCAGCCCTCTGGACTTCACAAAATGGAGTCAGAGGAAGAGGACTTGGATTTGTGTATTTCCTCCTGGTTTCATTTAACTCATACTTCCAACCCCTATATTTCCTGTATGCTTAAAGTTAGATCTAAAGGCTTGATTAGACTCTTGTTCAACATTTTGAGAATAATATTTCATAGATGATATTGTGCACTTTAAATCACATCCCAACTTAATGTCAGTATGTCCCACTATTAATATGCTAACTTTGGTCATTTGAATAATATGGTGACTGCCAGACCTCTCTAAAGGAACTCATAAAGATATGCTTTTCCCCTTGCAATGAGTAAGTAACCCATAATGGGATATTTTGGAACATGCATATATTCTGACCCCAACTATCTAGTACCTAGAGTTTAAGCAGCCATTGGTTATTCTTACTGGAATCAGTTATTACATGTGGGGTTACAAAATGGTGATGTTTCTAATCTTCCTTTTACATTTATTAACTGGAATTCTTTGATGCAGAAGAATCTCTCTCTTCTCCAACCCCGCCCCCCACACACATTTCTTCCCCCCCTCTTATACTACTATGAACACATTATATTTTATTTATTCTGTGTGTTCAATATGTTGTAATCAATTTTACAATTATTATTCTTTTATTCTTTTTGATGCTCAAATTGTCCCAAATTTGGTGAGTAGGAGCCCCTTCTAGTTGACTTTTGTGTTCTTTATTCCATTAATATTTGAGTAATTCCTTGCTTTCTGACATAATAGCATGTCCCACACTTACGTTGTACTTTCTCTGCCCCTGATATGGAACCAGTCATTTATTTCTCTAAGAAGCCATGTTCTTTTTAATGGAGAATGTTAATTTGAAACCAAGATCTGGATGCAAGTAGTTTTCATTACTACTGGAGTTTTCACTGCTTCTTCAGTATTTTTAGTGGATAGCTCTATACATATATAGCGCTCTCTCGCTCGCTCTCTCTCTCTCTCTCTCTCTCTCTCTCTCTATATATATATATATACAGAGCTATCCACTAAAAATACAGACTTATATCTAAACATTATGAATTTGGGGGCACCTGGGTGGCTCAGTCAGTTAAGTATCTGACTTCAGCTCAGGTCATGATCCGGTGGTTCATGAGTTAGAGCCCTGAGTCGGGCTCTGTGCTGACAGCCCAGAGCCTGGAGCCTGCTTCTGATTCTGTGTCTCCCTTTCTCTCTGCCCCTCCCCCACTCATGCTCTGTCTCTCTTTGTCTCTCAAAAATGAATAAATTTAAAAAAAATTTTAATAAAAAATAAAAATTATGAATTTGTATTGATATTTCCAGCTCAAATATAACAGGTCAAGCTTTTTCTTAGTTTACTTTGTTTTACACTTATATTTTTCTCTTACACAGAAAATCACAGTTCCCAATAAATAATATTACTATACTTTCTCATCCTATGATAGTTTCAAAATTATAAAACCAACATTATTGAGTGAACCCATTGAGTGAAATTTGAGATTTCTTTGCATTTCTTTTAGTCCCCAGAATATAGCCCTCTAAGGGTGTACTGTCAATGAAGTATGTGCAAAAGGGACTTGAAAAATTCACAACTCTGTGAAGTTATACTATCAGTTTGAAATAAATTAGGTTCATCTGCTTTTGTTTGCCATCTTTGTGAGGATCAGAGATAATCTAACCTTTATTCAAATGCTAATCCTAAACATATGCCATTTGTTTTTATAACTTTCTTTTTTATGGTTATCTTGTGAGGTCTATCAGAGTAACTTAAACCTGACCCTACACTTTATCCTAATTGTCTTTTTTATTGCTATCTTTGCGAGCTTTGGGGGACCAGATCAAGGTGCTTTGAATGCTCTGCATGCACCATCTGTTTCATGCTGTTCCCTCCACCACAATGCCCATCTTCCTATTTAGTTAACTGCTACTCTTTATTCAATTCTCGAGTGCCATCATCTTCAAGAAGCCTTCCCATACCCTTTACTCCTATCTTTCCTCTTGGACTCCAACTACACTCTGTGTTTAACATCAGTACACTTGGCACATTCTAAAGAAATCATATTCATAGTTTGAGGTATGTCCTCAACCCAGTAGGAATTATGGGACCAGACTGCTGTTGCTCCCTCACACTGTGGCCCTGTTGGCTATATTTAATGAACAGAGAGGCAAAGGAAAGTAATTGTTAGATAGATCCTGTCTATCATGCTCATAAATTATGACAGGCCCTACACATTTATTATCTCATTAACCCTCAGTAAAATGACAGAAGGGTATCGTTTCTATTTTCCAGGAGAAATAACTGATGTTTAGAGTATATTTTACTATGATCCTAGTCAATAAGGGAAAGAGCCAGGATTTAAATCTTGAGCCACTACTCCCATGTAGCACCTTCCATGGTGATGACTACACATCAATAATATACCAGGCCCCGGATGGGTTCTGGGCATCAATATTTTTTAAAAGCTCCCCAGATGATTCTAACCTATAGCCAGGGTTCAAAAAATCACTTTTCCCTAGGAGATCTCTAAAATATAACTTTTAGGATTCCAGATACTTCTGGATTCCCCTACTTCTTTGCAATTGCAATAATCTCCTTCCTTATTCCTGGATTGTACTCTCTCCCCATAGCATTTCATCCTCCACACACCTCCACTGATAATTATGTTACTCCTCTGCTCCGTAGCCCTTGGTGACTTCCTATTTGAGAATATGATGTAAACTATGAAGCCTTTTACGCATTAAAGTGAGCATGTATGAGAACTCCTGTATATCAGTTGGGAGGTTTGTGGACCCAGTTGAAAATTCCATTTCCTACAAAATACATTCCAAATGCTTTAACAAGGCAATTACGAATCTCAATACTCTGGCTCTAGTCAATCTACCCAGTTTCATCTGCTTGCAGTCTTTCATGCTACCAATCATATATACACTCTACTCTCCAGCCACCCTGCACTCCTTATCATTTTTCTGTAACTACATTTTCAAACTTCTGGATTCTTGGATCATGCTATTCCTATTGACTGGAATATTCTATTCCTTCCTGCATACTAGATGAGCTTCTGCTGTGTTCCAAACATACTGGCCTTTTATTCATCAAACATACTGAGTTCATTCAGCTTTGGGCTCTTGAACTTCCTGTTCTCTTTTCTTGGAATGATTTTGCCCTCGATTTTCAATGACTGGCTACTTCTTATTATTTAGGCCTCAGCTTAAGTGAAGGCCTCACTTCACTTTCTCCTATCATCCTACTCAAAGTATCTTCTTGGGATGCCTGGTGGCTCAGTCGATTAAGCATCTGACTTCGGCTCAGGTCATCATCTCACAGTTTGTGAGTTCAATCCCCACGTCAGGATCTGTGCTGACAGCTCAGAGCCTAGAGCTTGCTTTGGATTCTGTGTCTCCTGCTCTCACTGTCCCTCCTCCTCCCTAGCTCATGCTCTGTCTCTCTCTCTCTCTCTCTCTCAAAAATAAACATTAAAAAAGATTTTTTTAATAGTTAAAAGCAAAGAGGGAGGGAGGCAAACCATAAAAGACTCTTAAATACAGAGAACAAACTGAGGGTTAATTGGGGGGGAGTGGGGGGAGAGGGAAAAATGGGTGACGGGCATTGAGGAGGGCACTTGTTGGGATGAGCAATGGGTATTGTATGTAAGTGATGAATCACGGGAATCTGCCCCCAAAACCAAGAGCACACTGTACACACTGTATGTTAGCCAATTTGACAATAAATTATATTCAAATTAAAAAAAAATTTTTTTAATTCAAAGTATCTATCTCCCATCCCCCACCCCTACCAGTTTAATCCTTATTCTCTTTAATTTTCTTCTTAACATTTATCATACTCTGAAATTTCTGGCTTAAAAAAAAAAACTTATCCTTCCATTAGCATATAAGGCCCTTAAAAGTAAGAACTCTGTTTTCTTTGTATCATGACCGTGACACCTAGAACAGTGTTTTGCACAGAGTTGGAACTCAATAAATATTTGTTGAACAAACACATTAATCCTCCATACCTTGCTCAAATGCCATCTCCTCTGTGAATCTCTTTATCAAAATACTTCTGTCCTGGAAACTGGAACTAGACCTAATTGTATCTGTATTTTCAGTTCCCAACATATAATGTGCTCATATGTTTTTTCCCTGATATTGAAAATTTTTCATTTTTTGAAGAAAAACTTAGCATGTGCTCAAGAATGAGAAATGTAACTAAAAGTTCAAGGCAGAGGTCAAGGATGATGTGTGTTTCAATAGAGATATTTTATAAGTATAATAAATAGTATAAAATTCTGACTGAATGTGTGTGTAGTCAAAATGTTTTATCAATAGTATCAATGACCTTGATTGGTAATTTATGGTATTTTTCAAAAATGAATGAAATAACTTTTTCTTCCTAGCTAACATTCCAGCTGATGGTACCCACTGCCAGAAATAAGTAGGAATTTGAAATAGATGCAAACTCATATTATATCTATTATATTATACTATATATTATAATATGTCATATTATAATATATCATATGGCTCTGCCATTTACTAGGTATGTGACTTTGGGCAAGTTATTTAATTTCACTGAACTTCAGTTTCCCCCTATAAAATGAGAGTTTAATAAAATTGCTAAATAAAGTGTCATGATTGACTCAGAGTTAGCTGCTCAAAGATGTTGAGTTTCCTCTCCACCAGAGCCAACAGATAGGAAACAGATAAACCTATATCCAGCCCCTGCTCCCCTCCTTAAAATTTTTTTTTATTTTGAAGAGCACAGAGAAAGCTGGTTTTAGATCTTTGTCCTGAAGTGGTGTCATCTGTATATATTCAGTCTCCCCAGCTACTCCTTCCATCCTGTCACTTTTCTTTCCTTTCTTTATTCATCAAATATTTATTGAGCATGTATTATGTGCTAGGCACAGGGAATGATAAGACAGGGGTCCTGCTTCCAAGGAGCTCAGTCTAGTGTAGAGCAGTGCAATGAGAACCTTGACAAGGGAAGTATAAGGAGGTACAAAAACATATGCCTCGGAACCCAATCTAGTCATCAAGTCGGCCTAATAAAGAGATGTTCAATCTGAGACTTGAAGAGTAAGTAATAGCTAAGTAAAGAGGGGACAAAGAGTCTTACAGGTGAAGAAAACATCATGGTCAAGGCTTGGATATGAGAGAAAGCACATCAAAGAAACTGAAGAAATCTGAGTAGGCAAGAGGAAGGAGAGACACACTGGTCAGATAAGGCTAGCCATGTCAGCAGGAGACAGATCACAAAGGGCCTTATGGGCCACTGAGTAGAGGCAGTCACTGAAGGATTCTAAGGAAGTGATATGATTAGATTTGCATTTTTCTAAGACCATTCTGGCTGCAGTATAAGGGGACTGGAAAGGAGTAAGACTAGAGGCAGGAAGAACATTAGGAGGTGTTACAATACTTACTTGTTACTTTATTTTTCCCTCCCCCAACAGATACTCGGATTAACTCATGCTCTCCAGAAATTATCACCACCAAAGATCCCATATTCAACACTCATGAGGCAACATACACAACAGAAATGATCACCAGTGACAGTGCATACTCGGCTTCATCTACTGTTGCACCTTACTCTACTACACCTACTCTTGCTCCTACTTCTGCTTTGGCCTCCACTTCTCGACGGAAAAGAAAGTTGATTTGTGTAACAGAAGCTTTTGTGGAAACTAGCACCATATCTACAGAAACAGAATCTTACATTGAAAATAAAGCAGCATTCAAGAATGAAGTTGTTGGGTTTGGAGGTAAAAGCTTTCTGTGTTTGCAGTATATTTGTGTGTGTTTGTGTGTTTATGTATAACAGAAAATACATAAAAAACTAGGCTATCTCCAGATTGGCCATACAAGTAAAACCTTAATGCAAACTCAACTTTCATAAAGTCATAGAACTTGAGGGCTCTAAAGAACCTTAATGATTAAACTAAAAATCATAGTATATGAGTATAAAGTAGCTTCACTTTTAAAACTCAAAGACTTTAAAAATAAGACACTATTAATATATCAGAGTTTAATATATATATATTTATATATATATATGCCTTTAAATGCCTATGATTAGAAAGTTTGTCTTCCTATTTAAAAGGAAGTGTTTACACCTAACTAGCTCCAAACCTATCATCCCACAGCCACAGAGAGAAAATGGACTCCATGATATTGCAATTTATAGAATACAGCTTGAGAGGCAAGGCCTGGGATTCTATAGGAAAAGAAGCAAAGAAGCAGATGTGGGCCCAACATTCTAAGTAGCTCCGTTGTGGTCACAGAGAAGGCTTTTCTCCTGCATTATCTGTTGTCTTCATGCGTGTAAAGAATCATTAGAAGAGCAGCACACAACACTGTGTAAGCAAAGGACCCACAAACGATGTCTCTGTTTCCTCCAGGTGTCCCCACGGCTCTGCTAGTGCTTGCACTCCTCTTCTTTGCTGCTGCAGCTGGTCTCGCAGTTTGCTACATCAAAAGGTGGGGTTGTTGGCACATTGTTAGTCTTGTAATGTTTGTCACATTCCTATCTTGTGTTTTTTCCAGGGTTGTTGTTAGCATTTCGTCAGTCAAAACAGAGACAGTAGACTTCTCACATCGTAAATTTTCTCCCTCTTCTCACCTCTCCTCCCTAACACCCAATCTTTCCTACTATTTCAGCACATGCATGTCACCCAGCCTTTAGAAACAGGTCAATGGGTGTCCCTTTGAAAATCAAGAGATAAAAAGAAAAGACTGAAATCTAGGGGGGAAGTATATGCTTTATTTTGATTCGGAATTCTCTGTTGTTGGTAGGAGGGTTGTGAGGTCAGCCTTAAATGTGGCCTGCAAATTTACTGTCTCATCTAAATGAATCCACTAAGGTAGGGATGCAATGTATTTGAGAATGCACATGTTAGCATCTGACATAAAGGTACCAGCATACTGTGCTAATACGTGCCAACACAGATAAAGTGTTATCTATTGTCATATGTGTTACATAGAAGTGTCTCACTTTAATTTTATGTTTATGCCTATAGGTATGTGAAGACCTTCCCTTTTACAAACAAGAATCAGCAGAAGGAAATGATTGAAACCAAAGTAGTAAAGGAAGAGAAAGTTGATGATAGCAATCCTAATGGGGAATCAAAGAAAGCTGATAAAAATTCAGAAGAGCCCAAGAGTCTGCCCAAAACTACAGTGCGATGCCTGGAGGCTGAAGTTTAGACGAGAAAGAAATGAGAGGACACACCTGAGGCTGATTTCTTTCCTGATTCATATCCTGGTCCTAGATGGGGAAACTTAAAGGGCCAAAGAACCAAACAAGAAAGTCCACCCTTGGTTCCTAAATGGAATCAACTCAGGGCTACTTTTGGATTATGGAGTTCACCAAACGGAATTCCCTTCTTACTGCAATCCTTTCTGGATCCTCCTACCTCCAAAGCTTCCCACAGCCTTTCTAGCCTGGCTATGTCCTAATAATATCTCTGTGGGAGAAAGGAGATTTACAAACCACAAGAACCTAAAACAGCTAATCAGAGCGCATTTATAAAGAGGCTTCTCAGCTGGCTGACAAGAGGTTCATTGAGAACCAAGAGATTGTTGAGACCAAGCTTTTCTCTATTGATTCCACAGGCCAGATCCTTTCTTCAGCTCTGAAAAAGTAACATGCATCACCTGGCATGCCCTTCTGAGCCAGGCAAGAACAAAAGAAGGAAGGAAAAGTTCAGCAACTGAAGGTCATGGAAATTCCCATGACTTGAGACCTGATCTCTGTAAAGCCAAAATAAGTAGAGAAAAAGAATGAGGCCAAAGATGTTGCCAGTATATTGTCAGCAGGGACTATAAGTACAAACAGGGTCAAAGTAGTCATCTCTGAATAATCTGAGTTGGAATCGCTTTTTAGAACACACTTTCTTTTCTCTCTCTCTCTCTTGCTGCTGCCATTTTTTCTAGAAGTACATAATTTTATAAAGGAACCCCCCCAATCTCTTACAAATTTTTATTTTTATCGGAGCTGTATCTGGGAAATTAGTACTGAAGAAAATTACTGTATTAAAAGGCAGTAGAATTTAACAAACATTTAACAAACATCCCTACTACATGTCAGGTGCTGGGTAAGGTATTATATTCTATAATAGAATATTATTTATCAAAAACTTACAATAAAATGTATGAAGCTAATTTTTTCAGTTTTGATATCCTTAGCTTATCTACTTGCAAAACTAATTTTTTGCTAAGACTAACCCATTCACTATTTTCTCTAATATGGCAGCCACTATAACCTTAATTTATTATTAACATACCTAAAAAGTACATTATTACCTCTATACACCAAAGCACATTTTGAAAGCATCATTAACAAATGTATTGCCAGTTCTTTTATCAGCAAGAAGGGCTCAAGAGGTGCAGAAATATTTGTGTCAAAAAAAAAATAAAAGCATTTAGAAAATTTTGTTGCTCCCTTATTTACATAGATGCGTTATAATTTTCATGGAAAACTGAAGTAATCTGTTTTTTGCAAAAGTAAGAGGGACAACTTTGGTTGTTGAAAAACAAATATTTGTAAACCCAGCGGTACATACATCACCATGTGGGGTTATGCTTGCTTCAGGGGATCTTATTTTAAGTTGGTCAAGTACTCACCCATAAAACAGTCCTTTACTTAGGATACATTACAATCCATTTCAGAATTCACAGAGAGCTGAAGATTCAGGATTGTTCCCCTGTCCTGTTTTTCTAGCTTTCTCTCTCCCTCTCTCTGGTCTTCCCTTTTGGACTAGTATCTTCTTTCCCTTACCAGTGACTGCACAGCTAGCTAGCTCCATGGTCCCTTCAGCTCAGAGACCATAAACTGCTGGCACAGTCTTTGGTAGTTGGCCCAGAGTATTATCTTAAATTTTGGGTTAATTGCCAGGAATTAAAACTGGGTGCCTGGCTAGCTCAATCAGTAGAGGGGTGCCTGGCTAGCTCAATCAGTAGAGTATGTGACTCTTGATCCAGGAGTTGTGAGTTTGAGCCCCATGTTGGGTGTAAAGATTACTTAAAAATAAAATCCTTAAAGAAATCAAGGGTTTTCACATATTTATATTTCTGGGTTCCCTTGAAAAGGGAAGATTTGGGGGCACCTGGATGGCTCAGTTGGTTGAACGTCTGACTTCGGCTCAGGTCATGATCTCGCAGTCTGGTCCCTGAGTTTGAGCCCTGCGTTAGGCTCTGTGCTGACAGCTCAGAGCCTGGAGCCTGCTTCAGATTTTGTGTCTCCCTCTCTCTCTGCTCCTCCCCAACTCACGCTCTGTCTCTCTCTCTCTCTCTCAAAAATGAATACACGTTTTAAAAAACGTTTTTAAAAAGAAAAATGGGAAGATCTGGAAATCAAGAACCCATATTCCTATACAACAATAACTATCTCAGACTGAGTAGTGGCTGTTCCCTTTAAAAGGTCTCTGCTTAACAGAAGACCATGGGGGAGGGGAAGGGGAAAAAAAAAGAGTTAGAGAGGAAGGGAGCCAAACCATAAGAGACTCTTAAAAAATGAGAATAAACTGAGGGCTGATGGGGGTGGGAGGGAGGGGTAAGTAGGTGATGGGCACTGAGGAGGGTACCTGTTGGGATGATCACTGGGTGTTGTATTGAAACCAATCTGACAATAAATTTCATATTAAAATTCATTCATTCATTCATTAAAAAAAGGTCTCTTCTTGCTTCACGCCACCACAGTGTTCACTGTCTATTGCATTTTCATGCCAAAATAAAGGTGCCATGTCCTATGGATCTTGTAATACTATTGCCGTTTCTTTCACACTCAGCCCATTTCACTCATTTACAATCTTCCAGGTGCTGAGGTCTATGAGTTTGAAATTCTGGTTTGTCAGTCCTTAAGTTTTATTAGCCTCATCTAGTTCTCAAGTAGTGAAGAAGAAACAGCAAAAAAGAGCCTAAGTAATGGTCTTCCTTTTGTGTGTTAGCTGAAAAATAATCAGATCTTCCACACTAGATCTCTCATCTTGAAGGCATCTACTATATATTAAGACACTATCATCTATTAATTTAGACAGGCGTGTGTCCTCCTCAGGAGGAAGGGGGAAGGAGAAAAACCCCACCCATCCACATATGATCAGTAGATAGCCCAGATGCCAACTGCAAACATATTGATGAAATAGGTAACATTCATCGTTAAGGAAGAAAGGAAAGGAAGGGAGGGAGGGAGAGAGGAAAGGAGTAATACTGAGTACGTACTAAGTGGAAGTCGTTTTCACATGTCCTATTTAATCACTATGTTTTCTCTGAGAAGAATTATTACTGTCATTTTTTATTAGAAAATTTGATTTTTAGAGGAGTTAAATCACTTTTCTATGGTCACACGTCTACTTATGTGCTAAAGGTAGGATTCAATCCCATGTCAGAATGACTGCAGAGCCCATATTCTTTTCCCTACACCACCAGACTCCTTTTGCAAATGACTAGAGAGTGATATAAACTATTCCAGTATGTAAGCTTGAAATCAGGCACTTGCCAAAAAACAATAGTGGGGAGATAAGAAAAACAACTTAGGACTCCTGTCCCAACTTCAGGGAATTTTTCCTAAATCCACTTGCAATAACAAAGAAAAAAGAGAACCACTAAAAACCTTTGAGAACTGTTCCCTCATTGATGCAGACACCAACCTCAGCAAAGACTTACCTGGTCCAGCTCATATGGTCAGAAAATGCAAGGCTCGGAGGGAGGGAAGATGGCGGCGTAGGAGGACGCTGGGCTCACCGCGCGTCCTGCTGATCACTTAGATTCCACCTACACCTGCCTAAATAACCCAGAAAACCACCAGAGGATTAGCAGAACGGAGTCGCCGGAGCCAAGCGCAGACGAGAGGCCCACGGAAGAGGGTAGGAAGGGCGGCGAGGCGGTGCGCGCTCCACGGACTGGCGGGAGGGAGCCGGGGCGGAGGGGCGGCTCGCCGGCCAAGCAGAGCCCCCGAGTCTGGCTTGCAAAGAGCGGAGGGGCCTGACGGACTGTGTTCCGACAGCAAGTGCGACTTAGCGGCTGGGAGGTCATAAGTTAACAGCTCTGCTCAGAAAGCGGGAAGGCTGGAGGACAAAGGGAAGGAAAGCTGCTGAGCCCCGGGACGACAGAGCTCAGTTTGGTGGGGAACAAAGGCGCTCGCCAGCGCCATCTTCCCCGCCCATCCCCCAGCCAAAATCCCAAAGAGAACCAGTTCCTGCCAGGGAACTTGCTCGCTCCGCGCAAACACCCAACTCTGCGCTTCTGCGGAGCCAAACCTCCGGCAGCGGATCTGACTCCCTCCTGCTGCCACAGGGCCCCTCCTGAAGTGGATCACCTAAGGAGAAGCAAGCTAAGCCTGCCCCTCCTGCCCCTGTGCACCTTGCCTACCCACCCCAGCTAAGACGCCAGATCCCCAGCATCACAAGCCTGGCAGTGTGCAAGTAGCCCAGACAGGCCACCCCACCCCACAGTGAATCCCGCCCCTAGGAGAGGGGAAGAGAAGGCACGCACCAGTCTGACTGTGGCCCCAGCGGTGGGCTGGGGGCAGACATCAGGTCTGACTGCGGCTCCGCCCACCAACTCCAGTTATACACCACAGCACAGGGGAAGTGCCCTGCAGGTCCTCACCACGCCAGGGACTATCCAAAATGACCAAGCGGAAGAATTCCCCTCAGAAGAATCTCCAGGAAATAACAACAGCTAATGAGCTGATCAAAAAGGATTTAAATAATATAACAGAAAGTGAATTTAGAATAATAGTCATAAAATTAATCGCTGGGCTTGAAAACAGTATAG